ATAATTGGCATTCTCACATCTTCTTCAATATCTAAGACAACAAAATCCACAGGTATTATAGATTGTCTTACCTTTATGAGCACATTTTCCAAAATACCCATGGGACGTGTGATTGACCGATCCGCCAATTGCAATGTAATATTGGTAGCTTTTAGCTCTTGAAGTCCCAATCTCCGGGCAACCGATAACGGCATAAGTGACACACTTGCACCTAAATCACATAAAGCATTAGAAAAATGCAATTGACCAATAGTGCAAGGAATAGAAAAACTTCCCGGATCTTTCAATTTAGGAGGGAGTTTATTCTTAATCAATGCACTACACTCTTCCGTTAATGCTATCATCTCATTATCTACAATTTTCCTCTTCTTTGACATGATGTCTTTCAAGAAACGTGCATAAGAGGGAATCTGTGTTATAGCATCAATGAAAGGAATGTTAATGTGCAATTGTTTAAACATTTTGAAGAACTTTTCAAACTCCCGATCCTGTCCATCTTTCTTCAACCTGTGAGGAAAAGGTATCACATTAGAATTTAATTTGGGATGAAGTGCATCAATATCAATGATAACATGATCATTTTGACTTTCTTGCTCCCCTTCAATTGCTTGCTTCTTGTCTTTTTCACCACCTGAATTTTCAAAATCGAATCCCTCAACCGTTTTACCGCTTCTAAGAATGATTGCATTGACATGCTCTCTCGGATTCACTTCGGTTTTACTTGGTAATTCACCAGGGTTTCTATTGTTGATCACATTGGCAATTTGACCAATTTGAACCTCCAAGTTTCTGTACATCCCAGCTAATTGGTCCAACCGCCCCTCAACTCGCTCGAATCTATCCGAAGTCACCTTAGCAAGTTTTTCCACCGCGATCTCCCAACTTGGTTTAGTTTCAGCCTGTGGTTGCCTTGGTTGAAATCCCGGCGGATTGGTTGGCCTTTGTTGATTGCCTTGATCTTTCCATCCAAAGTTTGGATGATTTCTCCACCCCGGATTGTAAGTATTCGAGTAGGGATTATTTGGAGCATTTCGGTTGTAATTATTGACAAATTGTACCTGCTCAGAATCAACACACTCATTAATATCATGTTCACCTCCACAGAAAGAGCAACAAGCTACGTGTGCATTAGATGAACTTGGACCAACTCCACCTTGTCTACTTAGCAATTTCATCACATTATTCATTTGAGTACTCAGCATATTGAGAGTGTCCATTTCTATCATACCTGCGTGACGTCTCGTATTACCTCTTTCATTGGCCCATTGGTAGTTATTTGCTGCCATTTCTTCTATCAAATTATGAGCCTCTTGGGGTGATTTACCCATTAAAGCTCCACCTGCGGCTGCATCAATAATAGTTTTAGTGGAGAAAGATAAACCATTATAAAAGGTTTGTATAATCAGCCATTCGGGTAGTCCATGGTGTGGACATTTCCGTAACAAATCTCTAAACCTTTCCCATGCTTCATATAATGATTCTCCTTCCATTTGACTAAAACCAGTGATATCCATTCTTAGCTTAGCAGTCTTACCAGGTGGAAAATACTTATTCAAAAATGCCCTTGATAAATCATCCCATGTGGTAAAAGTGTTAGGAGCATGAGAGTGTAACCACATTTTTGCCTTATCTCTTAATGAAAATGGGAACAACCGTAACCTTATAGCATCATCACTAACTCCATTCATTTTAATTGTATCACATATTTCTAAGAATGTAGCTAAGTGTGAGTTAGGATCTTCTACAGCATTACCTCCAAATTGAGATTGTTGAACCATTTGGATAAGTGATGGCTTAATCTCAAAGTTGTTAGCATTTACCGTAGGCCTTGCTATGCTCGTTTGAGATCCTTGTGTTCCCGGTAGAGCAAAATCTCGTAGAACTCGCCTATTTGCTTCATTTTCAGCCATTTCTTCCTCAAATGGTAGATCTATTGAGATTTCCTCTATAGGTTGCCAAATCTCTTGTTCCTCTTGCTGTGGTGGATGCCTCCTTTGTCTACGTAGTGTCCTCTCAATTTCTGGATCGAAATGTGTAACTTCCCGAGACGCCCGGTGCATACACTACAAACAGAAATAAGAGATATTATGCAATTTCAATTGTCAAAAACTGATTACAATATAAGATTAAATATAATCTAAAAAAAATAAAACTGTCTAAATTAATAAAGATGATTAGGCTCTAATATTGCCGCTCCCCGGCAACGGCGCCAAAAACTTGGTGGGTTTTCACTTTAAGTGCAAGTTTAATTCCGAATTTACACCCGTTGGACTGCAAGTATACAGGTCGCAATTGTAGTACGAGATGTGTATCGGGTCGATCCCACGAGGAGCAATTTAAAACAATTATTAGATACTAATTTACTCTATTATTTAGACTTACAATTAATTTGAGCAGAAACTTCAGATTTTAATTCAACTACAAAAATTCTTAAATAGATAAATGCAATTTCACAATAGGAGTAGAATTCACTAAATATTAAGATCTAGGGATGTAGATTCCACTTATGACACAAAAGATCTAAAATGAATTAATTCAACACTTGTTACTGCTCTTGTTTAACCAAGGATTCATTTCCAGAAATACCAAAATCACATTCTCATGATAATAATGGGTTAAAACAGATTAGTTTTTCCTAATCTCTTGGTAAATACTAAATCTGTTCTTATTCACACATGAAATGCAGATTTCATCCACTTGAATGTATTTCTATTCTCATGAATATACTACTCAAGCTCTACTTATGTCATTCCATTATTTTTACCATTTCTCAATGAGTAAAAACAACTATAAACCTGCTATTGGTGATCAAGCAACAAGTAATCCAACATACACAAGTAGATAAGTTAATACAAGACATAACAAGCATAAATCACAATCACTTCATATCATTTGGCCATAAGCTTCATCTACTCCCTAGATAAAGGAAATTAGCTACTCATGAATGATGAAACACTCATAACTTCATTAATGCAAATCATCATAAATTTACAAATACAAAAAGAGTAAAGAAAGTCTTAGCCAAGATATGGTGAAGCCTTCCAAAAATCTCCTTGTCTTGAACTTAGATGATTACAAGATGAAACCTCAATTGTCCCTTGCAAGTACCTAGCTAGAGAGACTATGTTTTTCTGTCAGAAACTAAGCTACGAATGGTTCCCAGATCTCTCCCCATATCTCTGCATAAAAAAACACTCAAATGCTCCATTTTTCCAAGTCAAATTCTATCCTTTGATTCCCAAATCTCCACTTTGTTAGCATAGTCAAAAACCAATATTTTTGACTTGAAAATAAGCCACTTTTCTTGCCCTTTTGTCTTCTGAAGCATGTGCACCGAATTCCCTTGCATCTTATAGCTGGAAAGTGGTATGAACACAAGAGAATTGGCTGAGTCAAATTGCAGAATTTCGGCTATAAAACGCGCCTACACAAAACGCGGTTACAAGTCACGTTTTGTGTACTCGCGTATTCACTTTGGCCTTAATTCATCTGCGATTTTCTCTATCATAAAGGCCGAACTAGCTTTTGTGCAAAACACAAAAGTTGTAGCCCTTTGAGTTAGCTTTTCAATGCTTCAAGAATCATCCAAATCGGAGCTTTGTAGCCTGAGATATGATCGAAATACTGTCACCTGTTCAAACCTCTGTTTTAACTTCCGACCACAGGGTGCAGCTTCTGTATTCCAGCTTTTTGTCCATGAAGATGGCAGAAATGGATTTCGATGTCTTCATACGAATTGTAGGTCTCTTTCTTAGCTTTAAAATGGTATAAAGATCACCTCAATCCGATATGTGTAGCTCCAGATATGGTCAAAATACTGAAAAGTGTCAAAACTGACTTGTATTGCATTTCCTCACTTGAACGTTTTTCACTTCATTCTTCTTGTTGCCACTTAAATTCATCACCAAATCTCTATTTTTCACCTCAATTGACCTCCTTTGGTGATTGATTCATTATTCCTGCATAAAAATGAAGTTTTTACTATTAAAATCAATAGAAATGCAATATTATCCACTTTTACCAAAAATATATAATTTTACCAAAAACCTCTTTATTTTAATTATAAAACTAAATAATCAACTCAAAATTAACTAATAAAATGCACTAAAAAATACGTAAAATAAACTCTTATCAATGTTGTGTACAAAGTGATTTAAAAAATATTGGCCAATAGATTAAAGAATGTTTTAAGTCATTGCAATAGTAAAAATCAGTTAGCTTTTATCCTAGGCAGGCAAATTCTTGACAATGTTATTTTGTCTCATGAGTACTTGCATTACATGAAAAATAAGAAACGAGGACAGAATGGTTTTATGGCTGTGAAGCTGGACATGTCCAAGGCCTACGACAGAGTGGAGTGGAAATTCCTAGATGCCATGATGGAAAAGATGGGCTACTGTACAATCTAGAGGACTTGGATATGGAGTTGCCTCTCCTCAGTTACATACTCCTTCAATATTAATGGAGTACCAAAAGAGTTTGTAATTCCAGAAAGAGGAATAAGACAAGACGACCCACTGTCACCTTATCTTTTCCTTTTATGTTCAGAAGGGTTCTCCAATTTATTGAAGCAAGCTGAGGAAGATAAAAGGATCTCAGGGATGAAGATAAGTAGGACTGGACCAAGCATGACTCACTTATTTTTTGCTGACGATTCATTGATCTTTTGTAAAGCTGAAAGAGAGGAAACCAGGGAACTCATTCAAATTTTGAGGAAGTATGAGAAGGGGTCTGGTCAATCTATAAACCTGGAAAAGTCCTCAGCGTTTTTCAGCAGCAATGTGAGTCATCAGAGGAAAGGGGAAGTGATACAAAGCCTAGGCACTATTCAAGTGGCTACTCAAGGAAAATATCTGGGGCTCCCTATGATGATAACAAGATCTAAACAGCAAATTTTTGGATACATTAAGGACAGTATCAGTAGAAGAATGAATAGTTGGAAGAACAAGTTGCTCAGCCAAGGAGGGAAATAAGTTTTATTGAAGACAGTTTCCATAGCAATGCCAGTTTATACAATGTCCTGCTTTAAACTCCCTAACAAATTGTGCAAAGAAGTGACCTCCATTTTTGCTAACTACTGGTGGGGAGAAAATGATGGGAGAAATAAGATGCACTGGTGCTCATGGGGGAGATTGGCTAAAGAGAAAAAAGAGGGAGATTTGGGATTTAAGGATTTGCAGAACTTCAACAAAGCCTTGTTGGCTAAACAGGTCTGGAGACTGATTTCCAAACCAAATCTTTTAGTCAGCAAGGTCTTGAGGGCAAAGTACTTCAATAGGGACTCAATCTTTAAGTGCAAAGTCCCAAAGTGTGCTTCTTGGATTTGGCAAAGTATGATGAATGTGAGAGATTTTGTGCAAAATGGAACTAGAAAGAAGATAGGCAATGGCAAGGCTACCAACATTTGGGAGGATAATTGGATCCCAGGAAATAAGGATGGAAAAGTCACATCTGCAAGGCCTTAGAATTGCAACGTCAGAAGAGTAGATGAGATGATCAGTGGCTTTAGATGGAGGAAACCATTGGTACTTATAACCTTTAACAGAAAGGATGCTGACGAAATCCTGGATATCCCTATAAGTATCTCAGGAAGGGAAGACAGCAACTACTGGCTACATAGTGGCAATGGCATCTATACGGTCAATTCTGGATACAAACCATTGAGAAGAGAAACAACCCAACATATAGGAAAAAGAGCTGATGAGGCAGAAACGAGCTTAGCAAACTCCAATGGAAAGCAATAGAAGTGGTTGTGGAAGCTGAAAGTCAAAGCAAGATAAAACACTTCATTTGGAGGAGTTTAAATGGGCTACTTCCAGTTAATGCTTTGGTGTTTTATAGAACACACCATGGAGATCCAATATGTGATGGCTGTGGAGAACATAATGAGTCTATTGAACATATGTTTTTTCAATGCAGCACAGCTCAAGAGGTATGGAAGATGGCCCCAATACAGTGGGATGGGTTAATTGGACAAACAGGAAATTTTACAGTTTGGTGGACTGCAATGCTGGAAGCCTCATGTAGGATAGAGGGGAGGGAGCATATAGAGCTAACTATGAATATCCTTTGGCAAATATGGAAAAGGAGAAATGAATGGAAGTTCAATGCTAAATGAAAGCACCCTTGGAAAACAGTTAACAAGGCTCAACAGGAATGACAAGAACAAGCCTCAGCTTGGAGTAAGGAGACAATGATCCCTGACGATGCTGGAAAAGAAGGAGAGGAAGTAGAATCAGTAGAGATACGAAGTGATGAAATGTAGATCAATATAGCAACTAGTGTGCAGGAACAGACCAAAAGGATTGGTACTGGGATTTTAGCAACTAACCACAGCCATCAGGTGGTGTCAGCCTGGGTACTAATTGATAGGAAAGCAGTAAATCAGTTGCAGACTATAGCAGAAGCTATGAAGATGGCCATTATAAAGGCCAGACATCATCAATGGCAGAAAATTACAGTCCATGTTCCCAGCCTACAGCTACTGAAAGTGATTACGTCGGGAGTGGCTAAGGATATCAAAATATCTACTTTGGCTGATGATATTAACAACCTCAGATCATTGTTCCAGAAATGCTCCTTTTGTCTAGATAGAAGATTAAATAAAAGATGTAATTTGATTAGTGATTATGCCTTAGGCATATTTCAAGATGAGGAATGGATCAACCCTCAATGTGTCTAACACTTTTGTATAGAACTTCTTGAGCCTTTGCTCATATAAGTGTACATCTTTTGCCAATCAATACAAAAACTACCGTTGAAAAAAAAATTAAATGAAATAAAAAATAAAAAGTTTAATTAGAATCGCTAGTACCCATTTAAGACAATTGTGCTGTAATTCACATCTTATTTTATCCAAATACGCTCAATATCACTAATGAAAACTTAAGCGACTAAAATGATCAAAATTTTCAACAATAGGGACTAAAAGAGCAAAGTCAAAACTATTAAATAATGGTAATTTGATTTTAACCCTTTTTCATTACTGAATTTTCGTCAAATGTCCTTAATGCACCTAATATCAGAAATTTTGAGAACCAAATTTATTGTGGCCAACATGAGACTCTAATTTAGCACATATGCTAAAAATTCGAGACTAAAACTACAATTCACTCAGTTTCCAAAAGAAAAATCTATACCTTTTTTGTTTTATTTTTGTGCGCACATGTGATTTTTTTTCTTTTGTTACCTTTGATATCACACAATGGTCCAAACCAACTGACATATGTTAATAGATTCAATTGTTAAAATGACATTATGAATTGTTAGAGTGGTAATATGTAGGAAAATTTTGTTCGGTAGAATTTTGGGTGGAAGGACTAAATCATTTAGTTTAAATTACATTTTAGTAAACTAAGTAAATGGAAGAATTAGGTTATAAAACCTCATTTATACCCAAAAAAAGAGGGGGGAAAAATAAATATAAATCTCATTTGCCATACAAATTACAATCCATTAACTCAATGGAAAACGTGACCATTGGAAGCTACGACAACTTATCGCCAAACATTGCATTAGTAAGCCAACTTGCAACTTGTGTCTCCGGTGACATAATATAATTGCTGAAAAGACCACTTAATTCTTGTTGTCTTGAACAATGGGTCATCTTTAATTCTCCTTTATCATGTTGCCGAAAGAGCACGCACTAATATTAAGTTGAGCAATGTTACTATTTTAAGAAATAAATTAACATAGTTTTTACACGGCTAACCTTGTTTGATTCTTGTCATATGTAAATTAGAAATCAAGTGCTTCAGTAAAAAAGTAGCTACCTTGGCTTTTTATCCTACTTTGGAAAATTACTCAAATTTACCAAATTTGATGGTTAATATACTTGAGTTTTAGCATTTTATTTATGACTATTATTGTTTTCAGACTTAAAAGTTTTTTATTTAAAATACAAACAGGATATAATGTGGCCAAATAAGGATAATCCGGCATTTTCTTGTCCTCAACACGTGGCCTCATCTTATCAATCATCATATTCGTCCATAGAAACTGATGCTCAAAGTTTTGTTTCGCGATTAGTCATTTAACTCATTTATCATGTATTCATCCATAGAAATTGATCTCAAAGTTTTGTTTCTTTACCATTAGTAAGAGTACAACATATTATTAGTTTACTTGCCGCTAGAGCTTTCTTAGATTCATGTTGTAAATGGAAAATTTGCATAAAAATTTTGGTTTTATTTATGGTGTAGGAGAGTTGCTCCCAAATACAATCAACTCCTAATGACAAAGGGGATACTAAACCTTTTCCAAGTTTGAGTATTTCCTTTCTTTAGATTGAATTTTGATCATTTATATAGATTCGACTCATTTGTTTTGATTTTACCTTCTCCCCTAACAATCGTATTATATTCAATCATTTGTACCTCAAATGAAAAGTAAATGTAATTATTCTTTTGACAAACAGGTTTGTAGAATTGCTGGGCGAAGTGCATATATCTTTGGAAAAGAAGATCCAGGGAATTGCTTGAGAAGATGCACGAACTAGAATTTTTGTTCAAAGTTATTAATGTCTTCAGTACAACGTTTGGTGTTGATTCTTAATGTATTCAAATTCTAATGGGAAAAATTAGACCATTAATGAGATACCAAAAACAAAAAAAATTCGAAGTCTAATGCCATTCAGATATAAGTTTTTTTGATCGAATGAATCACCAGGTAGGTTGTATAAAGGGCTGCCGTTGTTTTGTTTTGATCAAATGAAACATCAATAACTAGTTTTAGGTTAAAACTAATAATAAACTCTTGTTCAAATTACTATAATATTAGAGTACTGTTATGGAAATATTAAAAAAATAGTAGTATTACTAATTACAAGAGACGTTCGTAACATTTATAGCTAGTTACTTTGGATATTTAGCTTAGAAAAGAAAAGATGGGAAATGTTAAGTTATGAAAGAAAAGAAAAGAATAGAAAGGAAGAGGAGATTTTAATGTTGTTTGAGAATTTTAGAAGGAAGTAGAATGATTTTCAATATATATACCAATAAAATTTCATTCAATAGTTTTGTGACAGGGTGTCGAGTCTGTGCAATAATAATTACCTACTCCAGAAAAAAATACAAATTTTGTATATAGCGGTGAGTAGGGTCGAATCCACAAGGATTGGGGATAACTTATTTATTTTAGAGTTTGAAGTATGGGGGATTTTTGGAGAATATAAAATAACTAATTAACTAACTAATAAAACAAATAATAGAAATAAACAAGAATTAATCAATAGCCAATATGACTCTAGCCAAAGGTGCAACTTTTCAGACACGGTCCATTCAACTGATCATTGATGCAAAGATAATTCAATTACTCATTAATAGATTGGTTATAGTTGTCATACACGCGATGAACAACCAGCCTTTCCTTAATTTCTCGATAGTTAAAGTACGACCGTTAACTATTCCTCTAACCAAGAAATAACCCTAGGTACGACCGTAGGATTTAATTCCCCAATTGCATTAAGATCTAGAAAAGCCCAACCCTAACCAACAAACACGCTACGAGGGTTTGTTTAAGTTAGATCATACGTTTCCCTAACATGAAACCAATCACGCTAGTCGCCACTCGTATTAATCAATTGAACAATTACGAATTCAATCAATTAATTTGGCATTAGATCATTAAGTTAATTTGAATATCGGGCCCTTGACATTCAAATAACATAACAAGCATAAGCAATTAAATCAGGAAACGCACAAATACCAATAAATAAAGGAAATAAGTAAAATAATTAGATCTCACAGATGTTCGGAACCGAGTCCTCAAATTGACCTTCGACTAGATGAGAAATTTAGCCACGCCTCATGAGAAAATCTTCCCGTAATTTAACTGAGGTCCAGGCCATCAAAGGAGCCAAGAAAGAAAAGAAAACTAAAACTATCCTAAAAGCCTCCTAGAACTATTATTTATAGCTTTCTGTACGTTTGTTCCTTTTTAAAGCCCAAAGATGACTTATGCTTCATATCCGTGGTCCTCGCCGAAATTGAGAGTCCAAGTACTCAAAAGAAAGCTCTGCCAATTCCTTGTATTATGTTTTCTCTTGGTAGGAGGACTCTTGGTCAGCAAAAAAAGGGAATGGAAGTCCGGTTCTTCTCAGCAATGTGGGCCAGGTCTGTGAAGTATTTAGAAGTCTCCACTTTCTCCAGAAAATACCTCCTTTTTTGTAGTTTTCTGCTCCACTCCCTAAAATTAAGTCCAGATACCAAATATAAGTAAATATTAATAATTAAAACAATATTTGGCAAGGACAAATGGGAAATTAATAATAAAATAATCAACAATTAACACCCTATCAATTCCCCCCACACCTGAACCATGCTTGCCCTCAAGCATGAGAACAACAATTGAACACCAAAATTTGACAATGGCTGTTGCTCCAACTACCGTATTGCCAAGATATCCAGAAAAACATATATCAAGCATCACAAGTTAAGATCCAAGAAAAATCATCCCGGTTAGCTTT